AAAGGGGGGAGGAAAAATCGATTGAAATCGATAATTGACGGGGTTTATTATGAATTTGATAACAATTAATACACACACACACAGAGAAAGAGAAAAAAAAGGTTTCAAGTTTGAAAAGAAATTGTCACAAAATACAAGCCAATAATGAATGAATGAATGATATTTAAGCCAAATAATGATAACTAGGTAATTCAATTGAATAAAGCCCATGACTTGTTCGGTCATTTTTTTTGGTTTTTGGGCTACATTTAATTCAATTAACTTAAATTTTGAAATTTGTCATCACCAATGTGAAGTTCGCAATAGAAAATCATGATGAGGATGATGATGAGCAGCAGCAGCCATATCGGTTGCTGATGTTGGTTGATGATGATGATGTGGATGATGTGGATTTATAGATGGTGGTGGTGGCGGTGGTGGTTGACCAGTAGCCATTACCGGATTTGTTGATGGTGGTCCAATTGTAAAACCATTTGTTGTACCGAATGGATTTGATGTAAATGCCATTGATGATGGATGATGATGTGGATGATGTGGATGATGATGATGAGGATGATTACCAGTCAAATGATGATAATGATGTACATGTGGTTGACCAGTTAATGTTGAATTCTGTGTACCAAATAACATACTGCTTGCACTATGTGGATGATGTGGATGATGATGATGAGGATGCATTTGACCAGGTACAGTTGGATATGTAGCATCACGAGCATCCATTTGACTATAGTGATTAGTGTGTGTGTGTGTGAGAAAATATTTAAATAATGATTATGAAAATTCATCAAAATATTCATGCAAATGTAAATAAACAAAACTTACAGAATGGTCGGTTTATTATCTTTGATAAGTACCGGAACTGCTACCTTACGTGGTGAAGTTGCTATCGCTGTAGCTGTTGTTGTTGTTGTTGTTGCTGTTAATTGTGTTGATTCAATACAATATGGTGATGATGATGATGTAGTTGAATTTGTATTTACCGATGTCGTACTGTTATTATTATTAACATTGGCTGTCAAATTCATATGATGTGAAAGATGATGATTATGATGGGGATGTGTATGTGAATGCGGTTGATGATCATCATCATTATTTGATGATAATGGTGGTGATGGTATGGTATTTGGTGTTAAACTTGTTGTTGGTGAACTTTCACTCATTGATTTTTCTTTTGCTTGTCGTTTACATTTATAACGATGATTCTATAATTGATGATTATTATGAATGAAAAAAAAAGATTGACAAAATCAACAAAACAAAACGGAATAAACAAAACAAAAAAATTCAATTAGAGAAATCAGTTGGTGTCGATTGATTGGTTGGTTAGTTTAGTGTTGTTTATTTGTTTGCTATGCTTACCTGAAACCAAATTTTTACCTGTGTAGGTGTTAGCTGAATTAATTGTGCTAAATGTTCACGTTCAGGTGCTGATAAATAACGTTGTTGTTTAAATCGTCTTTCCAATTCATATACCTATGTAATTTGGGTTCATTTTTAATTGGAAAAAATAATAATAATGATAATAAGTGAATTTGATTGAATAAAGCAATATTTCTGTTTGGCTTTTAAGTGAAGAAAAAGGGATTTATTGAAATGAAATGAACAGTGTATATAAGTGGTCATCATCATCATCAAATTGAAATTCATGAATTTTGAAGAGTGTTCGATAAGGATACTAAAAAAAAAGGTAAGTGTATGTCAACCCTGTCAATTATTGTCATTGTGATTATGGTTGAGAGTGAGAGAGGTCATTATGTAAAAAAAGATGAGATATACCTGTGCTTGGGTAAATAAAACACGACGTTTTCGTCTTTGCGTATGATGATGATGATGTACGGTAGTAAAATGTTGATTAACTAAACTATGTTTTGATCCATTTGAACCAAGAATACAATTATTAGCGGCAGCTGCTGCTGCTGCTGCTGCCGCTGTAACAACATTATGTGATGTTGATGTTGAATATGATACTGGTGTTGGATATGAACTCCAAGGTGATGTTGCCGTATTAGCATAGAATGGATCATAATAAGCTGTGTTTGGAAATGTTGATCGAGACATTTCTGTAGCGTTCGAACCATATTGATGAGGATGATGATGATGATGATGAGAAGAAATTGTTGCGTTAGATGATGATGATGATGATATCGGAGGTGGTGGTGGTGGTGGGGAAGAGGTAGATGGACCTATATTCATTATGGCTTGTTGATTTTTTTTTGTTTCACTCGGGAACACTCGAAACTTGTAGAAAGATCGTTGATATTGAAGACTTAGATAATGTTCAATAAAGCGAATATCGTTCAAGATGATGATGATGGTAAATGGTCGTCGATATATGAATGAATGAATGATTCGAAAAGGAAAGGAAAAACTATGGATAAGATCTTGATGATGATGATGATCAAGAAGTGCTTGCTTTAAAAAGTATGATGATGTTGTTGATGAAAATGGTCCTTTATTTCACAAAAGATGCTTGTTGTCGTTCTAATATTAAATGAAAAAAAATGCGATATGATGAAACTCTCTCTCTCCCTCTCTTCTTCTTTTTCTCTTATTCAAATTCTTTTTGAATTCGTATTTCGATCTTTCCTGGCCAACAGTGGCTCTTGAATGTTTGAGGGCTCTTCAATGAAATGAGATGATCATCCAACAAAACTCTTGGCCGCACGATTCATCCACCAAAAAAAAAAGGAAAATATATTTTTATTTTTCCTTCTTTTTCTTTCACATTATTCACATATTAATCTTACCACATTGCACATCCAACATTCTGTTTTTTTTTGTTGTCATTGTTATTCAGACACACTCACCAATTGTGTGAATGTAAAATTCAAATTCAAAAATTTGAATTAGGCCACACCTTTCTCTTTTCAAATATAACTTTGGAACCAACATCATCGAAGAAGAAAAAGAAGAAAATAGGCTCCGCCTTGTTTATTCAACATTGTCATTACATTGTTTGTCTACATAGCCAATCATTGAAAAGATATGTTGGCCATGCCCACCAAAAAAAAATGAATGTTTAGGATTCGATTTTTGTTTTTCTGATTGGAAGATGGATTCCATGGATAGCATTTTTTCTATATAAGGAACTCTCAAGGTTGTACTGAAAGGTAATAAATGTTTGAAAATTGGGGGGTTAAAACTTTAAAAAGTCAATCGATTTTTTTTTTAAACAATAATCAATTTTATTTCATTTGTAAATATTAATTTTAAAAATACAATTTATTTATAATTACTAAAATCAACTTTAAGTTTAATGCTTTGATTTTCATTTGATGATTTTTGTTGTGATAATGTTGTTGTTGAACCATTGTTTATATCATGAAGATTTTTTCGTCCTTGATGATGGATAGCTTTCTTTAGACAATCACTATATGTTGGATTACCATTCATAATTTGTTTAAATTCATCCGGATATTTTGGTCCAATTTCGGTTAATTTTTTCAATGAATGTTCATGTATCATAATTTTTTGTGTATGAAATTGACTTACTAGTCTGGTGTTGGTCTGGTGAATTTCTGTTGAAGATTGATCAACATTCAACAATGAAATCAATGCCGGAATATAAATGTAAAGCATATTGATTCCTAATAAAATGATTCCAAAAAAAATAAATCAACAAGAGTTACCCCAATTATTAAGTGAATAGTGGAATAAGTATACTTACGTTTTTCATCATTAGCTTTGCTAACAAGAATCTCTAAACATGCTAAAATATTAATCATTGATGCAATACGATTATTCGATAATGATTGATTCATTCGAAAAGATGTAACCAATGAATAATATACATCAATCAATTCATTGGCTAAATTATGTATATAAAAAGTAGATTGATCATTGTTTTGTTGTATTGTAAACACTGATTTCAATGTTTCAATACATTTCAATTGAACAAGTTCATTTTCGGATTTTAATGCACGTGTCATTAGATTAATAACCGGATATTGTATTTGTGGATGAGATAAAACTTGTTCCGGTGAATGTATGATAAATACACCGATGGCCAATAATGTTGATATAAAATCTTGTTTCTGTTCATCACCACCTATAGCGAGAAAGAAAGAGAATAATAATGGATGGAAAAAGGATTTTGGAATAAATTCTAAAAATCCACTTGAAACTTTTTTAAAAAAAACTTACTTGTTTTAGAAAGATCTAATATTCGAGCAATAGCAGTCTGTAGTAATTGAATCCACTTTATACGAATTTCATCATTATCATTATTATGATTCAATAATATTGGTGATGTACAAAAATTTTTAATACACTTAAGAAAAGTGATTATCGGTTGTTTTTCATATAATTTTTCATCATAAACAGTTTGACATACAACGGATAGTTCACAAAATACACCAATAAATAGATAAAGAATTGTTGGCAATATTGTAACGCTATCTGATGGTCGACAAACATTACAAAGATCGGTTAAGATTTGTAAAACATTTGCAATGATTCGTGCATTATCATTATTGAACAGGGCATAATTTGTAGATTTATGACTACGAACAAAAGAAAATTCCGGTGTTTTGGCCAATTGTGGACAAAGTTGTGGTAATTGTCTAACTAGAATGGCTAAACATATTTCCAATATAGAATAAACAATCGATTTATGTGCTTCAACACCTGTAACTGATGAACCATCATTCGAATCATCATTATTATCATCACGTTTCATTCGTATCTGTATATCGATTAAAGATTTAATAATTTCGGTTATAACCACTTGTGAACCAGAAACTTCATGTGTTAATAAAAGACGATGTAATACTTGACATAATTCTAATATTAATTTTGTATCATTTGATAAAATTGTTTCGGTTACTTCATTATGTTGAATAAGTTCTTTTAATGAATCAAGATATGTTTGAACATGTATAGCTTGTTCGGTTGATTTTGGATTACTTAAAGATTCAATACAAACACCAAATAATAAATAAAATTGTTCAAATCTTGTTAGATTTAATGAACTATCATTATCCAATAATTCAAATCCTTTATCAGTACAAAGCCATAATGCTGCAGCATTTAAAATTGATGGCCATGAAGCACGATACATTGGCCGTACAATATCAATGGTTTCAAGATTGAAAAATGTACTTCCATCTGGTGGTATTTGACTATAATATTCATCTGGTAATGTAAGTAAAGCATGATCTTTTAAAGCAAAAATCCAATATTTTGATAATGTTAATAATTGTGGCTGTACAAGATCTAATAAACTTTCACTATTATTTGATGAAGATTTCTTCATTTTTTCTTCTTTATTTCGTAACATAGCTACAACATAAACTTCAGCCCATGCTTTTAATATGGCCAATTTTTCCATTGTCGATGCACTTTCATTAAAGATTTTTGAATTCGAATGTTTATGTAGTTTTTCTAATGATGAAACAAGAAGTTGATGAACTCGACGTAAATCATTTAGATCTCTGGCTACACCACTTCCAATCCAAGCACTACAAACTTGACATGCCATAGCTGTTACATGTGATGGAGTATCCACTGCAAATGCTGGACGTAATGCAGCACCGACTTGTGCCTGATATTGTTCCAAAATTACATGATTTTCAAATTCTGGTTCTGGAACATGAGCAAATTTATCGATAACCAATTCGAGTGTTTTTAAACCTTCCATACGTAATTGATCACAGTCGGATGTAGCACCAATAAAAGACATTCGAACTAAATCCGGTAAATGTAAAACAAGAAAGTCTTGATCTGGTTCTGTGAGACGTTTTTCCCTCGCTAAATTCAAATCAAAATGAATGGCCGTATCATTCGATGATTGACTACATGCAGCAATAATCTTGTATAAAATATTCATGATGAACACTCGAGTTTGCCAGCGATAAGTTAGCTTAATATTCAATGAATCATTATGATTAGATTTAAATCCACTTTCTTCAAAATCACCTTCTTCGGTTTCATGATCATTCTCATTGGACGAATCCGTAGTAACTCCAGCATCCGATGCACTTAATACTTCTTTACACAATGTAATCCATAGGTTAAGATTCTTTTCATCCACATGTTGTACAAGACAGTTCAATATTTTCTTAATATTATTCATATTCGAAGAATTTGTTTCATAATCAAGCAATGCAACAAGTATGCCTGGAAATTGATGATTGGATCGTAGATTAAAATTCGAAATGATTCCAACGGTTTGCTGAGATTTATTTCGTGCAACCCATTCCGATCCATATTCTATTAATGCTTTTGAATCTTTCTGTGCAATCTGTTGAAAACAAGAGATAGATGCTTTACGAAGTAAATATCTTGAATTAATAAATCCATCACATAGAATGAATATTAATTCATTCAATTCATAACAATTTCTATCAAACATATGAAGCTGTTGAAGACAGGCAATAGTTTCACTTTTGATAAGGAAATCACCATGTTCCTGTAATATGGAACATGCAATCATTATCATTTTGCGAATTTCATCAATGGAATGTGTAGAAGTTTGAAATTCTGGTCCTATCGTAGTAATAATAGCCGAAAGACATTTGGCAATACTTTGATGAATATCGATTAATGATGGTGATAATGCCATTAGAATTTTTAAACATTGAGATAAAGTTGGTTCAACATATGGTCGAAACATTGGCCCACCAGATTCGACAATCAATGTTAGTGCATGTAATGCCCATAATTGCACAGATGGTGATGAATGATCATCGGCCAACGCTAACAAAAGACTAATGTTATTCTTTAGTTGTGGAACCGAACCCATTCCTACAACATAATGATGTATACAACCAATAGCTAATGAATAACCCGTTCTAGTCAATGCATCACGAGCTGTACGTAATTTTTCAAAACATTGTTGCGTAATGTTGGATAAAAATTTTCCATCATTAATTGTCTGTACACAACGTCCAAGACATTCAGCGGCAGCATAACGTATCAATATGTTCGGATGGTTCAATACGTTGAATAGCTGTGCAACGACTAGTTTACGAACTTCATCGATTCCCAAATTGATTTTATTCTCCACCAATGTCCTTAAAGCACCAAGCATAGCTGTTAATATATTAATTTGAATGGCTTCTTGTCGAGAAGATTTAGCATGTTTTAAACATTCTTGAAAATGATTCAACATCTGTACACGATGTTTTTGCGCAACATAAGGAAAAACTAAAGCAAAAACTTGTGCCGATTTATTAATAACGGCAACGGCTAATGGTGGTGATGAAGGTACCAATAATGGATCATTAGACGATTTATACAATATGGTTGGATCATATTCAATTGAACCGATGCCAGATGATAGATGATTTTGTATCTGATCTTCAACCAAACTATGTTCAGTATCCTGAATCCATGAACCAAGTATAATATCAGCATTAGTTTGCATTAGATCACGAATTAAGGAACTTGATGTATTTACAACATTTTCGGTCAATGTTAGATCGGAAACCAATAAACGAAGAAGATTGGCAAAACAATTTTCATAAAGTTGTGGTGGTAACGATAATAAAACTTGATATAATCGTAATCGAACCATTGTATAGCTGCCTTTGATTGCTGGTCCTAATGTTTTAAAATGACTATTCAATGATACAAGCATTGTGATAGCCGATTCGATTGGTGTGAATAACCGTCGTCGTATTTCATCGGTTACTAATTTTGAACAATAAGTTAAAAAACTTGACATTGCAGCCAATGCGCCGGCACGATTTTCCAATGTTATTTGCCATGTGAAAGCATCACCACGTGCTTTTTCCGAATCCAATTCTTTTGTATTGCGTGGAAATGAATTCTTCCACAACAATAACAAACGAGGAAGAAGATTTTTAATCTGACCTGGACCTAATGACAATACGGCACCCATTAGTTGCCAACCAGCCTGTGTTCGTGGCATCGAAAGACGACTATTTTGTGATGCTGTTCGTAATAAATCTTCGGCAATATTGAATATTAATTTTGTTTTGTTTTGTGGTATACCTAACGGTGTATAACGAACCGTTCCAAACAATGCTGATAAAACATATGAATGACCATTTATCGATTCAGGACTTGCACGTAATGTTTCTAGCCGTTCTAATGAACGTTCCATCAAAGGTGTAAGTTGACTATTCACTGCTAAACATATACATCGTAAACACCAGGCAGCTGATAATCGAACAATATGTGCCGGATGATTAATCACAAAACATACATTATCGATCAAACTTAATTGAGTATCATGCAAAATAGCCAGACAAGAAGCACCCAATTGATTGACTAATGTACCAATTTCCAATAGACAAACAACTAAAATATGATGAGCTGTTTGTAAATCGATTGCATTTCTTATCATAGTATTTTTTTCCGCTTCAGCATTTACTGAATCTTGAGATTTTTGATTAGTATTAGCATGCCCGATTCTTGAATATTGTGACATAATTTTGACCAATTCTTTGATTGCCATAAATTGTCCTTTTTCCATAATATAAGTACTGATAATCATTCTCAATATAAATGTTATACATCTTCGACTATGAATGGCATCCAAATGTGTAGAAACCGCTTTCGAATTGCTTAGTATTTCGAAAAAATGATTCAATAAAATTGGACTATTTCGTTCGATCCATTCATATCCCATACGGTTACAAAAATCAACATATGAATGAATTACACCGATTCTTATTTCACGATTGGCCGTTGAACTACCTTTAATCATTTCGCCAGCTTTTAGAAAGCCAATTCCACCACGTAAAAATCCCGATGCAAAAAGATTCAAAATTTCTTCAATTGTAAAAATTTTTACTTTTGTTGAATTGGCTGACACTTGAAGTGATTGTAGATTTTGTCTGATTGAAGGTGTTTGTGTAATTGCAGCAACTGTTCCGAGAGTTTGAGCAACAGCTAAACGAACTTCATAGTTGGATCCATCAAATGAACGAAAACAAAGTGAAAAAACATTTTCGATTTCGGTTGTATACAAAAATGGTGCAACTTCGATTAATTTTTGTAAACAACGAGCTGCATTTGCACGAACTGACATTGATCGATCAAGCATTCCATGTTTAAGACTTTTATAAACATCACGATAAATTGAATTTCCAGCTGAACCTAATCCTGATATTATCATACCAAGTGTTGAATATATTTCGAATCTTGTTTGTGACTGTTTTTACAAAAAGAAAAATTATCAAAGTTATCATTAATTGTAAAACAAATTTGTATTTACATCGGCATTTTTCAGTAATTTCAACAACAATTGAACCGTTTCATCATATGTTCGACCCATCAATCTTCCCAGATTTTCGTACATAATACCAATACAAATTATTGATGATAATTTTGTATTAGAAATTGATGCAGAATCATCTTTGTTCTTTAATGTTTCGATAAATTTATTGACCGTATCGAAAAGCAAAAAAGTATCACCAACAGTAAATATCATGGCCAAACATTTTGCAATCAATCTTCGAGATGGATTACCATTTTGGCTAGATAATTGTTTCATTAATTGATCAACTAAAGTTTTCTGTATATCTTTAATGTCATCCTATGAATGAATTAAGAATTAATTGTTGAATAAATTCAATCAACAAAAACCAGTGCAAACCTTTTCGGCTTTATGTAAAAGTTTTGACAAATGTCGTAGCCAATCATAAACATAAATGATTTTCTTTTCGCCATTCAATTTATTTAATTCGGTTTCGTTTAGAAGATAATCACTTTGAGCGGCCATTCATTTAAGATTTCGGCAACAATTTTCTGGATTGGAATCGAATATTTTTTATTTTTTATATATTTTATTTTTTGTTTTTATTCGATTTTTGTCAACGCGTCAACCCATCATCATGGTCGGGTCGAAATAGCCACCAGGTTTATTGTTTACCAAAAAAATTTGTTCGAATGGGTTTCATTCAATTTTGGATCAATTTTTCATTCTTTCAATTTTGACAATAAAGTTTTTGTTTTTTAAAAAACAGAAAGAAATGGCTCATTATAAAGGTGCAGCATCCGAAGGTGGTCGAGCATTACAATTACAGAAACAACGTGAAAAAGCATTAGAAGATTTGGAATTACGAAAGAAAAAAATTGGTGATGAATTGAAATTATCGAATATTGGTAATAAATTTGCTGCTCATTATGATGCTATTGAACAACAGATTAAATCATCAACTGTTGGTTTGGTTACATTGGGTGAAATGCGTGCTAAACAAGAAGGTCTTGTTAAAGAACGTGAAAGACAATTAGCATTGAAAAAAGAATCAATGATTAAAAAAGAGATTGAATTACGTAATGAACAGAAAGAAAAACAACGAAAACAAATTAAAGCATTATCGTTTCGGCTTGATGACGATGATGAAGATGAAGACGAAGATGAAGAAGAAAAACAGAATAATGATGATAATGATACCAATAATAATGGTGATGGCAAATCTGAAACCGATATAATTCCAAATAACGATATCGTCAATAATGAAGATTCAAAATCAAATTTAGATTCATCCGATAGTATCAGTCAAGATTCATTTAATCATGAACCAGAAAAGAAAAAACGTAAAATGATAAAAAATCCTGATGTTGATACAAGTTTTCTACCGGATCGTACACGTGAAGAAGAAGAAAATCGTCTCCGTGAACAGCTACGACAAGAATGGGTAGAAAAACAGGAAAAATTAAAAAATGAAGAAATTGAAATTACATTCAGTTATTGGGATGGTTCTGGTCATCGACGATCAGTAATGATGAAAAAAGGCAATACAATTTATCAATTTTTACAAAAATCACTGGAATTATTACGTAAAGAATTTCATGAATTAAAAACAGTTACAACTGATCAATTAATGTATATAAAAGAAGATTTAATTATACCACATCATTATAGTTTTTATGATTTTATTGTTACAAAAGCACGTGGTAAAAGTGGACCATTATTTAGTTTTGATGTACATGATGATATACGATTAGTATCGGATGCAACTGTTGAACGTGATGAATCACATGCTGGTAAAGTATTATTACGTAGCTGGTATGAACGTAATAAACATATATTTCCGGCTAGCCGTTGGGAACCATATGATCCACAAAAAAATTATGAAAAATATACTATCGGGGATCGTGTTAAAAAATAGAAAAAAAAACCAAAATTCAAAAAAAATTCCAACCGCTAGTGATGATTTGCACCGTCAGATGGCACCACTAGTATCATTTGTAATTCAATTTAACCCCAAAAAAATCATCATTACAAGAAAAAATTCATTCAAGATAATTTACAAGAAAACATTAATTTTATTTAAAAATTCTTATTATTATTATTAATTTTTTTTACTAACGACATTTTTTTCTGTCTGTCTGTCTAAAATTAATTATCATTATCATTATTATTGATTAAATTGATTTTTCGTTTGACAATATATTTTGTGTATGTTTGGTGTGGTGTATGGGAAATATTTGCACTAATTTTTTTTTTAATTTGTTATGGTTGATGATGAATCTCTCAGCATATTCCAGTTTGGTCGAAAACAAAAAAGAAAAGATTTTAGTACAAAATGTGTGTGAAGGGGGGAAAGAGAAAAAGTTAGAGGAAAAGGAGTTTTTGCCATTTCATTTCAAAAATTGGTTAGAGAAAGTTTGTTTGTTTGATTGATTTGAATGTGTGTGTGATTGAGAATGGTTTCAGCATGAATATTTTGTTGTTGTTGTTGTTTTTAGTTTTAGTTGTTGACCAGAACTATCATATGGGAGATGTGATTGTGAAATGATGATGAAGAAGAAGAATACCCGATGAATGTTGATGAATGATGATGATGATGATCCAAATTGCAGCTGCAGTATGGCCCGGTTATTATTGTGGTAATTGATTAATAGTTTGATGATTGATATGATGAATATCCGGCCATCATATGTCCGGCCATTAATGCTGCTGCTGTAGCTGTTGCTGTTGCTGTATCCGTATTATTTGTATGAATAATTTCTAATAATAATAAACACCTGAATAATCAGAATTTGAATTTTAAATTTTAATCAGAAAAAATATATCCAAAAAAGGAAAAAATGTTTTTGGAAACTTACCAGGTGTACGAAATTGTTGGCTACTATCCATTAGATAACCCATATTTGGATCAGGACTATATGCTGAACCGGCTGATCCTAATGAACCACCAAGATCTGAAATGATAGAAAAATGGAAAAATTGATGCATGAGAATAACATTCAAGCATATTTTTTACAAAAAACAAACCTGCTCTATTTGATTGATCAATCATTGGTTGTACTATTCGTCTTCTGGCATTGATAAACCTTTTGTGATTTTTTTTTAAAGAAACGAAAATAACAACAAAAGAGAAAAAGGTGTTAAAAATTTCACAACAATAAACATTATTATTATGGTTATTATGGTTATTCAAAGCATCAATGTTTGCGTGCATCAAAATGATTTTTGAAAAACAAAATTTTTCTTCATCTTTGATAATCATCATCGTTATTACCTGCATTATTCAACCAGGAATCGCACAGAAAAAAATTGCATCAAAATTCAAACAAACAAACAAACAATCATTATCATGCTGATGATGATGATTATCTATCATTATGAATTTGATTCGAAATGGTTGAAATTTGAACTAACCGAACCGAACCGAACCGATCAACCAAACAAACAAACAAGATACAAATCATAAAAATTAGCTGCCAACCAACCAAACAAAACAGGAGAGAGAAAAGGTGCAAATTATGGTATGGTATAGTCATATTGACACCACCACAGTAATTTTCTTCATTCAGGGGATATTCAAATTCGAGATGAATACATTTTTTTTGTCGATGATGATAATGATGACCATATCCACTGAATTTATCTTAGTTTTGGATTTTCTCTGGTTTCTCTTTTGGTTTTTTAATGATCATTAATATTTCCGAATGCAAAGCACACAGAAAAAAACAAACAAAACAAACTGCAAATGCAAAACAAACTGCAAACTAATTAATGATCCATAACCGACCGTTCGACCAGTACATGTGCCATTCAGCCTGGTAATCATTAAGAGATAACGGTATTTTTTTGGGTATTTTGTTCATGATTATTACCTAGGTAAACAAACAAACAAAATAAACAAGCAAAGTTTTGACAAAAAACAAAACCTAGGACCAGAGAAAAGAAGCTTTTCTCTCTTTCGCTCATCATATAACTGTACATTTTTATCTAAAAAACAACAACAAATTGATGATGAATGTAAAATGACCAAAAAACTGAATGAATAAAACCCCTCACAATGATGTAATCACCATAATCACCTAAAAAAACAACTACAACAGTAAATTGCATGTTTTCTGTTTTTCTGTTTTTCTGTTTCCCATGAATGAATGAATGAATGATGCGACAACGTAGCGAAAAAAAAGCGAAATCTTTCGTGCTGAATCTCATCATACACAAACACAAACACAAACACACAAAATGACAAATGTCATACTGATCACGATGATGATGATCATTGATAATGATTATTTTGTTTGTTGTCTACCTTATAACCAGGAATGAATTTTTTTTTCTCCTGAATCAACAAAAAGTATATAATATTCTTGTGTCATGAGAGTTCAACCAAGTGTGCGCCACCAAAATAATACCAATTTACTGTCATTGCACACACACGCACATCACCAAAATGAACCAAGAGAGACACTGAAAAATTTCTGAAAAAACAACATGATCCATCCAACCAACCAACCATCCGACAGAGAGAGATAATCACCTTTAAATTGCATTTTAGTTTTAGTTTTTTTTATTTTGGGTGAAACTAGCTACAAATCAGCGAAAAAAACAAAACAAAAACAAATCAATGTGAAACTGAAACATACGGTTACTCAACAATCTCAACAAATCAACAACAATCAAAATATCACCAAAGATCAGAAAAAGATCAATTTTGCAATCTTTGAGTTTTGTGATTCTCAGTCGCTAAACAATTGATTGACTGCTGCTGACGAGACCAGCAGAAAAAATAACAGCAAAAACGACTACAGCAGGTCATTTTTGTTTCCAAAAAAACGACTCAATAATCGAAAATTAATTTGTGCAAAAAATAATAATAACCGAATTTCGATCTAATTCGAATGGCTAGTAATTATATAATGGGTGTATGATGATGGTTGATGGTATATTATGATCCAACAGGGACAACAGATGTTTAATATGAAAAAAAAACAAACAACATTATGGGTGATCCATGATGATTATCATCATCATGGATCATAGTACCAGTCAAACATGGATTACAGAGTACAGAAAAGGCGCGAAATCTGTGTTTGGAAGTTAGTAAAAAACAAACAAAAAACAAAAATAACAGAATTGTCCTGCTGCCGACAAAATCGATGATAATAAAATGAAATTATTTTCTGGATAGAAAAAGAGAGAAAGAAAATTCCTGAAAATTGAAATCGATTCCGGAATTTTCTGTATGTTTGTGTTTGATCGCGACAATTTAATTGTCATTCAATTTTTACAAACAAACAGCGAATTTTCTTCATTTTTTTTCCCGAAATTCTGGTTCATTTTGAAAACTAATCTTTTTTTCTCCGTTTTTTTTTCTGTTGGTAGATTCTATTTTATCATCAACAACATTCGCTCTCTTTTTCGATCCAAACGTCAAACATTAACGTATAATTAAATTGTTGGACAGTCAAGTTTTTTCCACACACACACACTGTATATGTGTGTGTTCACTATACGAATTTCATTTTCGAACAGAATCGTTATGAGAATTTCATTGTGCACATGATGATGATGGAGAATGAATTATTTTTTTTTGGAACAAACGTCGAGAAAGAAAATGAAAAGAACGAAAAAAGCTTATAATTAAAAGATTAGTTTACAATGTGAACAACGAAAACAAGAAGATGAAAAAAAGTGAAAAGCTATATGTTTGTTGTTTGGTTTGATGTTTTGTCGTTTGATGTTTTGTTTTTCTCTTGTTACTATTGATATACTTGAATTTCAAATTAACTGAAATTAACACTGAATCACACACATAGGGAGAGCGAGAATTTTGATTTTGATTTTAATTTTAGCTTTTTTTTGATGAAAAAAAAATTGGAATTTTGAAATTTGCATTTTGCAGAATCCTGATTATAGAGTGGTGTGAGAAACAGAATCTACTACCGCGATTTTCAAGAGTTTTTCATTCAAAATTTGAAAAAAAATTTCAAATTTCCAACATTATCGATTAATTAGATGAAGAAACTTTGCCTGAATGTCGTGCTGTTCTTAGAAACTATGGATTTTTTTCATTTCACAAAAAAAAACTAATGAGAAACGATTACCATAACCACCACCACTACATCAATGACGATAATACTTTATATCTGGTGCCAGAGACAACTAAACTAAACAAAACAAAACAAACGAATCCCCCAAAAAAACAAAAATTCAAACATACTGCATTTGAAAGATCACGTGCCATGGTTTTGCCAATCATCATTGGTTTTTTTCTCAAACGATATTTAGTTGTTGTCCACATCTCTCTCTCACGTAGAATATTTGACAACAACAACAACAACAACAACCAATGATGATAAACACGTGACCAAATCTAAACTGTTTTCGTTTAAGGCTAAAAACAACGAATAACGAATACGGAATACAGAAAAAACTTTAATTCGTTTTAAAGAACTAGATTTTTGTTTGTTGAATTTGGTGAATTAATGAGGAGAATTTACAAAAAAAAAGAAGAAAAGAAAATTATCGATCGAATCGGTCAATCAATAACCAAACTAACTAACGAAACTTGGGAAAAAAATGGCCATCTTTTTTTGCTGGATTCTACACAATGGTTAAAAACATAATTATTGCCTGAATATATCAGTGTAGCTCATGTCAAATTCATAAGCTTAAAGCCTGCTTGCCTGTTGAAAAGCGGTCGATATTTTTTTTTGTAGTATTTCAAACAAACGAAAAAACAAAAAATCATGATAATCATAATGATTATCATCATCATGTTTAATAATTATGAATTTATCTAAATCTAAATTCAATTAAATTCAATGTTTCACAATGAAACGCACATTGACTGAATGGCCAAGGGGAGAAAATCTTTCTTTTTTTTCTAGCCAAAAAAAAAACACAGAGAAAAAAAACAAGACCTGTCAAAATCATTCATGTCTGTCAATCAAATCAGAAAATTTTTTTTCTTTATTCATCCAATATTATTGGAATCAGTAATTATTTGATATTCAAGCAATATGAAATTATATGTATTTTTCCTGATCGACCTGTCATATGCACAACACACAGCCATATTATCAAGTTAGCCAGTCAGTCAGTTTCGAAGATATTCGTGGTCCGAGCCTAGTTGTTGTTGTTGTTGTTTTTTGTTTTCACTGGATGGATATTCGAGTTTTTTTGGCTTTTTTCGTCGTCCAGATAAACAAAAAGTCACGTAGTAAAATTCGTGTATGTCTATCTATCGATTTCGATTGAAACAAAACATTCGTGCTTTACATATGGGGGGGGTATATTCGATTTTCAATTTCCATTACATTCCAGGTAAATACCTGAAAATTTTGTTTTTTTTCTGACTAAAATTTCTAATTGCTACTGAACATTGACGCACGCACGCTTTGCGTTTTGTTGTTGTTTTGGTTGTAACAATGAATTCAATGAATGAATGAAATGGGATTATCCATAGGTCAAATGAAGCCAAATGGTAACTTACCAATTATTAACTTGTAATATTGTTAGACCAGTATCTTGGGCTAATTGCTTTTTTTGATCTTCAGATGGATAGGGATGCTATATTTAATGCAAAATGAATGAAAAGAATTAGAGAAAAAATGTTTTCAAATTTGAAGAAAAAATCGCTTACCGTTAGATGCTGAAATAGCCAAGCTCTCATAATATTTGTAGCAACTTTTGGAAAAATTCCACGTTTTTTTTGTCGTTTTTTACTACGATCATCATCATCATCATCACCGGTACCATCACCCGATCCAATACTAGCATCACCTAAAAAAGATCCTGGTTAAAACAACAAACAAAAAACACAGAAAAAAACAAGTTAGTTATCATTTGATTATAAACTGAACGGGAAAGAGTGTAAATTAGATTTGGAAATAAATAGAAAAAAAAGGCATCATAAACCATGAACATTATCATCATCATCATAAAAAAATGACCATCGGTCAAATGATGTGTGAATTATCATCATTACAAGATTATCATTTTTTTTCTGTTTTGTTTGGTTGTCAAGTATGTCTGTATGTATGTTTCTCTCAATTACATTCAATGGGGATAATGAAAAACACACACAGAAAAAAGTTTCAAAGGCAACTTCCAAAAAACAAAACAAAATCCATCCATACAATAATAATAAAACCATTTTCGATTGACAATAACAGTTACTTGTTACTTTTTTTGTATAGTTATATATACACACTTGAATTCAAAAAGAAAATCCAATTATTACGCTTGTTTTCACTTGCACACACACACACACACATCAAATAGCATACATTGATTTTCTGTTATTTTTCTCATCATCATCATCAATTCGTTGCTTTACATAATCCACATCATCATTTATCATTGAAAAAAAATTCTAAATGAATATAGAGACTTTTTTCCCCTTTTTAATAAGATTCTTTTTTAAATAAGATTCTTTCAAGAAATTGAAAAGAAAGAATATTCCGAATATGAAAATATCGATTCTTTAGATTCCTCGATTCTTTTGATTCTTCTTTCGATTCTTTCGCTTAAAAAAAATTCCTTTTTGAACTATGAACTTGTTCAACGCAGAATTTTTTTTTTACAGAAAAAAAAGTCCAAATAGCAAAGTCGATATCGATATTTGAACTTTTCATTCATTCATTCATTCATTCATCCTATTTATTTATTTATTTTTGATTTTTGTTCCATTTTTCTCCTTCTCTTTGAAATTCATTGAATGCTTTTTTTTAACATTAGAATTCACTTGATCACTCATACAGACAATGTTTTTGTTGGCCAAATAGCACACAAGGGAATTTTTTCTGTTTTGGATGAATTCTGAATGTGTGCGTGTGGAAGGTAAGCATTCACAAAAAGTGTGCATATAGTGAGAAAACATCAATTATTCTGCAGTTCAGTTCAATATTCTATGTTTTTTTTTCTGTTTTTTTTGTTTGAATGTTTGACAGGCTAAAATAGACCATACATGCTGAATAGCGAACAACAGCAATATAATAATATGGAATACTCTATTCACCCAAAAAACAATCAACATTTTTCTGTTTGTTCGGGTAGATATTTCGGTTGTATAACCAAAAAATTCCTGGACCAATTCATTCAGGAAAGGTCCATTGTTGTATGGAATTTCTTTTTTGAAAATAACATTATTGGTGGTAGAAGTAGCGGTAAGATTAATGTAATATGCGTGTGTATTCTATGTATTGCGGCAAACAGCAAACATTATCGAATGAAAGTAGTGGATCCGGTGATTCTTGGCTTTGTGTTTGTTATGTGTTTGCGTGTGTTTGGTGTCGTAGTTGGTGTGTATTGGTAGGATTAACATTCCATAACAATGACGCAAAAGAAAAAAAAATAACACGATGTGCCATGGGACATTATTTTGTGGCGGTTGTTTTTTTGTTAAAGTTTCTTTTTTTTTCTCTTCGTTGAATAACAATAAAGAGAATCCTATGAATGAAAATAACGACAACAACAACAGAGATTCGGTAATAATAATGATTCGAAATAAAAAAAAACTGTGAATGAGTTTTGTGAGAAATGCTAGCTAGCTAGCTGTGTGTGGTGATTTTGTCTAATGGACCATCATCACCAATGATGATAATCATCATCATTGTTAAAAAAACGACAACAACAACAATTATGGCGCTTATCTTCTGTTAATGATCCACACACCGAAAATATCTATTGGAGATTTTGAATTTTTTTTTCTCAAAGTTAGTCAGAGTTCATCCTGGTTTAGTGGTGGTGATTCTCAAGCAGAAGAAACAGAAGATTTTCAAATATCACCCAGAAACGAAAAGATCTAAATGTTTTTTGCTTGCTAAAGAGATAACAATAAGATGAAGAAGAAGAAGAAGAGACAGATGGTAATATTAGAATGGTAACTACTTTTTGTTATCTGATAATCTTATGTTTGCAAAAATCCAATGGCTTTTTTTTCATTTGCTGTTCACAACTTTTTTCTTTCTTCTTCTTCTTTTACACATCAAAACAAAACAATGTAAACTTAGTGGTGAATGAATGAAGATGAGTTTNGTGTGTTTGCGTGTGTTTGGTGTGTATTGGTAGGATTAACATTCCATAACAATGACGCAAAAGAAGAAAAAAAAATAACACGATGTGCCATGGGACATTATTTTGTGGCGGTTGTTTTTTTGTTAAAGTTTCTTTTTTTTTCTCTTCGTTGAATAACAATAAAGAGAATCCTATGAATGAAAATAACGACAACAGAAAAGATTCGGTAATAATGATTCGAAATAAAAAATAAAAAAACTGTGAATGAGTTTTGTCGAGAAATGCTGGCTAGCTAGCTGTGTGTGTGTGGTGATTTTGTCTAATGGACCATCATCACCAATGATGATGATAATCATCATCATTGTTAAAAAAAACAACGACAATTATGGCGCTTATCTTCTGTTAATGATCCACACCGAAACACACAATATCTATTGGAGATTTAAATTTTTTTTTTTTTGTTCACAAAGTCAGAGTCTATCCTGGTTTAGTGGTGGTGATTCTCAAGCAGAAAAATAAGGAAAAAAGCAAGGAGAAGCGAGAAGATTTTCAAATATCACCCAGAAACGAAAAGATCTGAATGTTTTTTTTTGCTTGCTAAAAAGAGATAACAATAAGATGAAAAATATGAAGAAGAGACAGATGGTAATATTAGAATGGTAACCACTTTTAGTTAGTTTGTTTGTTATCTGATAATCTTATGTTTGCAAAAAAATCTATAGTCCAATGGCTTTTTTTCATTTGCTGTTCACAACTTTTTTCTTTCTTCTTCTTCTTTTACACATCAAAACAATGTAAACTTAGTGGTGAATGAATGAAGATGAGTTTCGTATACCAAGTTTTTCTTTATTCAAAGGAAATATTAAGATTTGAAACGAAACGAATGAAAAACCCATTTCTTCTCTATAACAACCATGGTTTTTCATTTGAAAAAAAACAGATAATAATCAAAAGAAGAAGAAGAAGACAAACGAAGAAGAAAAAAAAATCTAACACATTCGATTTGGATGGATAGATAAGTGTTAGATAGATAGATAGATAGACTCGGGCGTATCCACCATCATCATCATACACCAAGCCATATTGACATTACATTATTCGGTGTTTGTGTGTTTGTGTGTGCATATTGTGTATTCAAACTAACCAGAGAAATAAAAAAATGAAACTTTTGTTTCATCAAATAAATAGTGGGTGCTAGATAGATAGAGAAAAACATGAAATGAAAAAGGAGGAAAAATGAAAAAAGCTCTATAGTTGGAGGTGACACTGTATATTACATGTATTCGTATGTATCACACATGGCCCAAGCCATATTTGATCACATCCACATTGAGCCCGGATGGATGTTGTTTTTTTTTTGGTTGAATGCAAACAAGCAAACCAATAGACAAAGTAAATGCAGAGAAAATTCAAAAAAATATTGTATGGCATGCGTTAATTGTGATTAATGTGTGACACTAATGCTTTCGAATAGAGATAAAGATAAAGATAGAGGATAGAATGAGGGAAAGAGAATTGAATGAGAGAATTTTGCTTGGCTTTTTTTTAACAATTCAGTCGTCGTCGTTGTCGTTTGCTTATTTTTCATTCATCTCCCTTCTTCGTTCAAAAAAAAAATATCCCAAACTTCAATTTTTCTATTAAAATGCATAATAAAAGCACAATTCTAAACTCAAACACTGGTTTGAGTTTTAATCTTTCTTCTTTCTTTTTTGAAAAATTATTTGAGAAGCAGCAAGCAGCCAAATGGGCAGCAGCAGCATCCACAATACTACTAGCCATATTTTTTTATCATTTTTCGATTCGTTTTTGCTTGTGTGTGCGTGTGTGGTTTTTCTGGATTAAACCAAACAAACAAAACCATATTTACCTTGAAACAAAAACAAAACTAAACTTAAAACTAAACTAATCCAATGGATAAGAATCAAGCTTGTGCACACACACGCATACTGATGTAAAATTGTACAGAATGTGGATGGCGAAACTAGAAAAAAATGAATTATTACCATAGATCAACTAAAAACCAGGGAATTACAATCATAGGATTCACATTTTTGCAATATAAAAACTTGCTTGGGAAGCAAGCAAACAAACACACACAGATATTAAATCTAGAGCAAGCAAGCAATCTTTCTTTTTCATTTCATTTCACTCTGATATCAATAGTGAGAATAGCATTTGTGAAACAAACACCAGGCAAAATGAAAAACAGAAACCAAATGAAAAACACCAACCAAATGATACCCGAAAAACAACGCAAAAAAATATTATAATCCTAAGGCAATTTGTCAATGTCAGAAAATATTAAAAGCATGGAAAAAAAGGAAAGAAAAAATCTCCCCAAAAAAACATCGTTTGTTTGTTTGCTGTTAATACATGGCCATCATTTTGAAATAAAACTAGCCACCACCACCACCATAGTGGATATATTTATTTATATTTCCAATGAATCTATTTCGTTTATTTTGACTCATCGTCATTATCATCATCATTCTACATTCTACATTCATTCATTTACTACATTTCGGGTATTAATATTAATTCCCGAAAATGTAGATAATTATGATAATGGGAAAGAATATCATAGTCAGTAGTGTAGCCGTGGATGAAAAATATCTCTATTTTCAGCGAAAATGAAATTTTGTTGTTGTTGTTGATGGTGGAAATCAAATCAAGCGAAAATTGAACAGAATTTTTTTCATTAAAATCCTTTGAATCGTACATTGACCAAAATGATGATCATCATCATATTGAGCAATGAATTAGATTCGGGATAT